GGAATATACATCGTGGGAGGAAATACAGAAAAAAAAAATCAAATCGATTGACCGTTTGGTTTACGGAATATAATTATCGGAAATTCATAAATTTATATAATTGAAAATAGTTAATATGGAAAATATATAGTTATGCTTTAGCTGTCCATGCACAATGCAATCAATCAAGTGAGACTATATACCGCTAAAAGATTGTGTTCTAAACTGCCCCGTTTTACAGCGGATAAACTTTTTACAGAGACTGTCGCGCGACAACAACCTTAATTGTTAGGTCGAATACTAATTTTAATTGTCTTCAGGAAAATCCAAGAGTAACTGCGAGGTTAATAAATATTTCATTTAGGCCAGAGATTTTCGTGGGATTTGAAACGAAAGTTTTAAGATCAAATGAAAATTTCATTGAGTATTCCAAGAAATTACCTGATTTTCTCTAATTTAAAACAATTTAAATTGAATGAACAGTGTACGAATTCAATTTTAATTGGAGATTCAGAGAAAAATTGTCATTTAAATTAGGGGAGGGCGAGTTAATATGGACACGTGGAGTAAAGTGGACAATGTTTTTCTTTAATTTCTTTTTCATGAAATGAAATGAATCATTTAGAAGCGAAGTGGTGAAGGGGGATACGTGAATTTAGCTTCTGGCTTCACGTTTGACGAATATCTCTGAATTTAAGAGGGAGAGAAAAGTAATTAGCCATTTCAATTTACCATTTCACTGTTCAATTGAATTTGAAACCGAATTTTTCATGGACGAGGTGACAAACCGAAAACAAACACCATCTACACGGAAAGAATTATTCAAGAAAAATAACGGGACATTTCACGTAATCCGCCAGTGAGAATCGTTTTCGAGGAGTAAATCTGGAACTTTCAGTAAATTATCGGGTTCTGTCACCGAAAAAACACAAAAAAGTCAGTAATATTTCTCTTCTCTTGTAGATTACGTGAAATGTACCGTAATTTTTCTTGAATATTTCTCTCCGTGTACTCATCCACCGATTCTAAATATTCTAAATTGCTCCTAAATTCTTTCGAAGTGTATTCTGGATGAAACCTTCATAGATGGTATTACAAAGCCAAACCGATGTCCCTCCGAAATTTTTTAATTTGTGCATTATTAATTATTTAATGAGTTCCCCCGTGTAGAGATTTAGAAAGTTGGGAGATAGCATGTATCCTGCTTTCCTGTATATAAATCTACACCTTTGTAGCACCATCTTTAAAGGTTTCATCGAGAATAGCCTTCAAGAGGATATGGAACTATGAGAACAATTCGAAAAATTTGGATAATGGAAAAAATAAAAAAATTAAGGCGTCCATTTTACCCGTTTTTTTACTTATTCTAAGAGTACTTGGACGCAGTATCATGAGAACGATTATGCATTTTTAATTTCACAACCGGAATTGGCCTGTCATCATTAAAAAAATGTGTCCATAATGCTCCATCCTCCCCTAATTATAATTACCCGAGACGCTGTTTTCTTCGTACTTTTTCCAAAGCTCTCCTCTTCGCGTACTATTTATCATTCCTTCCTTCCCCAATTTCATGACCATAAAAAAAAACAGAAATCGTATTTGGATATCACCTTCATAAACGTAAGTTTAACGCCTTATTCACACCTGGTTGTTCAGGCATGCTAACCCATCTCAAGCGCAGCATTCCGGATCTACGTCAGCAGAAGATTCACCTTCAGCCGCTGACGAGTCACGACTATCTAGCAAAACAGGGTGAGTATCTGAAATTAAAAAAAAAAAAAAAAACAACCGAAAACCATCTAAAAATCCGCCGACAACAATTGAAGGATTAAGAAAAAAAATGCACAGAGTCACCCCCTGTATGATATCAGCACTAACACCGCGGATTATTCCAAAGAATCATCATTCCCGCACTGGTTTCCCTGCATGAAGTTAATCTGGAATGTTGTAATCGCTTGAAGGCATAGTAACTAACATAACGGCATATTGTCCGTCATTTGGTAGGATGTAGGTGAAGTTTATTATTGTTCATGGAATTGTTTGTGGTATTAAAGGGTGGAATTTGTGTTTTAAGCAACAACGACATTGGTGAGACCAGCGAGACGTAGTTCCGCGGTGGTTGAGAGTAGTATGGCTAGTCACGGTATGATTCAACCAGCATCAAATTCATCAAGTCATTATACAATACCATCACCATCGCAACAGCAGCAACAGCTGTTGCATCCCTCATCCAATGGTAATTATCACGCATATCCGACATTTATCAATTTCAATATCGAATTAACGTCGTTATTAATGACAGGCATTCCTCAAACTGTTCAACTTGATAATCTCGTAGAAATTCTCGCTAAAACATGTCTTCGATAAATCGGTCGGTAATTCATCCTAAGAAAACTTATGCACTTATTATTTGATCACATTATTTCCCTTTT